AAATGGAGGTTATTGTAGCAGTTGTTTTTACCTCTTCAGAGCAAAGAATTAAACCTCTTAAATGACAGCGTCCCAAAGAATGGTGTTTGAATTAGTAAGATGGCAGTTGTACACAGCCCTCTGTACTATGGTCCACCAATGGACCAAATAAAGAACTACTCATCCCATTATGGTGTCTGTGACCAGTTTCTACTGCAGCACTGTCCAAAGGTGATTCTACTGTGGGTGTGGACTCTCCCATGGAAAGAATATCAGAGAACCCAGTCTGCTACTGAATGTGGGCTCAAAAATACCCACACGAGTTGATGTGGAGACAGAGCTGCATTTGTTTATGTGGGTAGTTTTGTACATGTGAGGGTTTTCTCATTCCCAGAGTCCCAGTTAGCTGCTTTAAATATTTGTGGTGTGTTCTGAAACAACCCACGCATTTCCTTTACACGTGATGAGACCACTAGTTATGATATTCTCCTGCTCTTTTGTGTACTAATATCACAAGGGATAGGGCGATTCATGGGAAAAGTAGTTGAAGGATCCAGGGATGTCTTTCGTGAATAATTCTGCCAGATTGTAGCCAAAACCATTTTCAGTGGTGGTAGGGGGAGGACTGCATTTCTTGGTAAAAAATGAGGATAACAGAAATCCTAAATGTCTTTTGATAAGTTATAAGATATATAACTAAAAGATAATTTACATTTAGAATTCTCTATTTTATGGTTAGGATATAATGAGATGTGTGCAAATTGGTTTATGTTTAGTATATTAAGTGTTCAATAAATGTTAACTACTGTTAGTGTTGTGATAATATTTCTTCTCAGTAGTAAATTTATTAGTAGCAATCAAAATTGTGGTGATGTATAACCACGGCAGAGTACGACAGTCCAATTTGCAATCTAAATTGCCTAAGTTATTTCCTGATTTCTAGTTTAATGCAGTTGGAAAGATTTGATAAGGAATGCTTAATATTTGTTTTTAAAATATTCACTAATTGTTACTCATTTTAATATTCAGATTTTCTATAATGATCTCTGTGATTCTGTATTATTCCATGTTACTTTCTAAATGTGTTGGACCTGCCAATGGAGACTTACATTCAGAAGGCAAACCGCTGTGGAGCCTAAATGGTGGTCATTGCTCTTGGGACTTCTGTTAGTCTTGTCCCATCAGCATCAATCTACCTGAGGTGCTCTCTATTACCCTTACTTTCCTTTGGGTTAAAGCATCCTTCTCATTTTTTTTCCCTGAAGGATCCCCAGAACCAGAGGATACTTCAAATCCCCATGAGATTACTAGTATAGAAATGCTGGCAGCAGCTTGACATTTTTTTTTTTTCAAGTTGAGTGTTCAGTGCCCAACTTGTACGTTAATTCTTCATTCCATGCCGTAACAACCCTAGACTTAAAGAGGTGTTTCAATTTCTATATCACCAAATAAAATGAATTCTCCTGATTTCCCTCCTCTCCCCCTAAGACCTCTGTTTAGGGAGAGTAAGATTAAAACACTCTCTAAGAATGACTTGTTAGATTACTCTTTAAATATATACTACAGACAAATCCTTTTAAATGGCTTGACTGATCTGAATATCATGGTGGGTGTCGGGGAATTATTTTAGGATGAAACTGTTCAGCCTCGGATCATCAGGCATTAGATTCTCATAAAGAACACACAACCTAGATCCCTTGCATGCACAGTTCTCGACAGGGTTCACACCCCTATGAGAATCTAACATGGCCACTGATCCAACAGGAGGCGGAGCTCAGACAGTAATGCTCACTCACCCACTGCTTACCTCCTGCTGTGCAGCCTGGTTCCTCACAGGTCATGGGGACTGGTATCAGTCCATGGCCCCAGGGTTGGGGACACCCGCTGTACCTAGTAAGTTTTGGAGGAAATGATACACAGGACAAAGATGTTTAGAGGAAGATCTGGTCTGAGCTGGCTGGTTAAGAGAAGTTTGGGAGTGTTTCTGACAGAGTAGAGAGAAAGAGGTTGCTAGATGATTAGGGAAAATTGCTACATATAAAATGGGAAAAGAGTCAGCACTCCAAGGGAAATGCCAGGGTTGTGGTTGTTGACAATCAAATTCACCCTCTTTACAACTTTCACCAGAATGTCTTTTCTGGTTCTGGTGCCTTGACTAGGAAGACCCAAAGAAGAGATGAGATTCAGGGTGTGATTCTTTGAACCACAGAGCAGAAAAAGGACTGCTATTCCTCTTTCATAGAAAAAGAGAAAGCAAAAGTTTGTATCAATGTTTCCATGTACGTGCTTCACAACACAGCCTCTCATTTTTTGCTTTTATTAGTTAATTGTTTAATTATTTTTTTCTGCCTGTATGGTGCAGCCAGTATGTGTTGTCTCCAGGGTTATCAGGAGATGATGTAGTTGTGTTAGTTAAGCACTGGTACAAACTGTTTTCTCCCATTGGCCATTGTTTTCTACAGAGACTGACTTCTATTTACCAGAAATGACACAGTCTGGCATTTGGATGCATCTCTTAGAACCAGTGAGGTGACATTCTGGATTATTAAAATATGTTTCATGCCATGCTGTGGGAAAGGGGGTGTAAGAACTTTATGCAATAGTAGTATCAAATGATGTTTTTGAATGTTTCATTTTTCTCTTGCAATGAGGAAGGTTGCTACTTTTGCTACTGATATGCTTTTAAAATGCTTGATGAAACTTTCAAAACTAAATGAAAAAGGAACACTAAAAAGTAATACTCTGAAAATGAAGGAGGATATAATCTCATTACTAATAGATTATTTTAAAGGGAATCTTTCTATTTGTAAAAATAGTGGTGCATATATAGTATACATATCTCTGTAAAACAGACTATGGTAGATGCATTTTAAATGTTAGTCAAATTTTTAATAAAATATACATAGTACCAAGATACTTATATATAGTAGCAGAGATAATGTTAACCACTTTCCAAATCACCTTATAGCATTATGATTCCTATACTTATGACCATTTAAATCATAAAGAGCTCTTCAATATATTTTCTTTAGTCTTAGAACTGTGAGAAAGGCCAAAGGATATTTTCATCATTTTTGCAAAAGAGAAAATGGCCCAGATAAAAATTGGTGGAAGATGCTCCGACCCTTGTCCCTGCCAGTGTGTTCTTGCTGTGCCCTGTCTTCCTGATTCTGGATGCTATCTCTAAATTGTGTCAGGCTGTTGTCACATGGGCAGTGCTTTTCTTTTTATCTGTGTTGATTCCATGGGTAACAATGAATAGGAGGCTTTAGGGTGCCTTGCATTGAACGCCCGCTTTGCCGTTAAAAGATGCCTATCAGGTGGTGATTAAGACCACAGACTTGAGCCAGCTGCTGGACTTTAAGCTCCAGCTCTACCACTCAGCAGCTGTATGACTTTAAGAAGAATGATTGCTCTGGGCCTCAGTTTTTTCATCAGTAAATTGAGAATCGCAAAAGTACCTATCTCATAGGGATGTCGTAATGAATGATTGAATGAACATGTATAAAAGCACGAATAGTGCCCACACTGAGGAAGCACTCCATACATTGGTCTGTTGTTATAACTGAAGAGTTGCACTTTTTAAAGTGGATGTGACTTCACTCATTTTTTTTACTTTAAGTTCTGGGATACATGTGCATAATGTGCAAGTTTGTTGAGCAGACTCATTCATGATATCTATACTGCTCAGAACAGACTCCCCAAAATCTGCTGGTGTAGTGAATATTTTTTCTTTAGAAAATACATCTTTCACTGGCAGAGTCTTTAGATTCTAATTTCTAGTCTTTAGTCTCAGACTAGATTGTAAACATTGTGTAGGGAATAGAGCACTGATCCAGGAGGCCAAATACCTGAACTTTAATCCCAGCTCAGTTATTAACCAGCTGTGACCTTGGGCCAGTCAATTAACCTTATCCAGCTCAATTTCATTTATCCTCATGAGAAGTCAAAACTATCCACCTCCAACTCTTCTTCCAAAATCCCATACTATGACTGATGTACTGGAGAGGAACTTTCTTTAACACAAACATTAGGCAAGGCCCAACATCATCCCATATAGTTAAAAGCTGCTATTAGAAGGATTTTGCAGTTTTTACAAAGAACGGAATTGGCAAATGTATGTTTACGTTGTGAGAAATAAAATATTTGAAGATTTTTAAAATGCAAGTTTCTTCATATGCCCTAAGGAGAAAGCATTTATGAAATTAACAAGATAGAATGACCTTCCATAAAATAGGTGAATTATCCTTACTCTGAGCCTCTGCTTTGTAGAACAATGCTCCAGCAATTGTCATAACCCCATATCTTTCCATATTGTCCTTTACTTTCAAGGTCACACTTTCAGGCGCCCTCGTGAGAATGGAGAGGAGAGGGAAGAAGCTACTTCCTCCTCTGTCTTTATTTCCTTTCCGTTTTGATTAACATGCTGAGCCTCTGGAGAATCTTTTTCTCCATCTGCCAGGTGGGAATCTTCTTTAGGATGATGGAAAAGGCAGAAGTAATGTGGGTAACTAATAATTTAACAACAAGCAGATTGCAAGGATAACCCAGTATATTAAAAACCAGCTCACCAAGCATAAAGGTATGTGACTTACTTTACAGAAGACACTTTGCTTTGTAAGCTCTTGTACACAGAAGGGGAGATTTTAACTTCTTTAAGGAAGGGCTTCTTTCCTTGGTTTGTCCCAAGACTAGGAATGTGAGGTCTGGGTGGGGTAGGCATTGGCAGCAGTGTGCAGAGTCTCAGACCATGGTGATAGGAGAGTTGATGTCCTCAGCACATAAAGAGGAGGGTTCCTTGCAACAGGAATCTCAAGGGACTGTCAGCAACTGCATACCCAGTTAGTCAGACTCAGGTTGAAGTACGTGGCTTAACAAGCAAAGTCTCTTAATAATATTAGAAAAGAACCTTGGGCTAAGCCCTGGAAAAGTTTGTTTCCTCATTCAGCATAGAGTGATGTCACTTAGCACATGCCTGGTCCATAACTGTCTTCTTTGATATCTATTTTTTCTGTCTGTAGGGCCAAGGAGATCTGTTGAAGAATGCCAAGAATGAAGCTATAGAAAACATGAAGCAGATCCAGCTGGCGTGCTTGTCCTGTGGACTGAGTAAAGCTCCCAGCAGCGGTGCTGAGGCCAAGAGCAAGCGCAGCCTGGAAGCCATAGAGGAGAAGGAAAGTAGCGAGGAGAATGGGAAGCTGTGAGTCTGGGCATTATCGACACGTTCACCCGTCTTGAAAGGACTCTGGTTTCTCATTCTTGTTTTCTTTCTTTAAATGTTTTAGAAGTTCACAAAATGATACCCTCTATGTCGTATTGGGCATAGGTATTTTCACAATGTCAGTATTTTAGTGTAATTTATCTAAGTTAAAGCCTTTAATAGCAGTGTTTTAAATTCTGAGATGTGTCAACACCTGTGTGTGGATGACTTTGGAAAAGAGAGAGAGATGGAAAGAGATAGATAGAGAGAGAGAGAGAGAGAGAGAGTGTGTGTGTGTGTGTGTGTGTGTGTGTGTGATAGAGACAGAGAGGAATTCTGTTAAAATCTATTCTGTGTTGCATTATTCATTTAGTGAGTTATTCCTTGATCATTTTGGGACTATTTTGTTAATCTGAAATTCTAAAGAGCACTTATCGTAACCTGTCGCTGTGTTTAATTTTACGTCTCTGCCTTTGACATTTAATTTAGATATCTTAGCTTAGCTTGTTATTGAAGGAAGTAAATTTATCAAATTTATCAAAGCATAGATGTTTTGATAGATTAAATATAGATTAAAAAAATTCCTAAGAATCACAGTAGAAATAAAAGTGAATGAAAGATTAAACAGATGATCAGAATTTCTAGAAAGATTAGCAAAGTCATTTCTTCAGTTAGAAAACTTTAAAAAATATTTATTAAATAAAATCAATTTTTAGAAAGTTTTCTGTAGTCATTTACTAAACATATGATTTCACTAGAAAAGCTGATCGTAAGTGAATTTATACCTACCTATGTGGTACTCTGAAACATACTGAAAGCTCTGTTGCAATTAGGATTTTGATGTAACAATAATATTGTTGTATAATTTCAAGATTTGTAGGAAGGTCTCATTCTTTCAAGCTGAGACTCTAGCATTCATTTTCTGTAACAGGTAAGGCAGCTTAGAGGTCTTGGCTTTGGATGTAATTTAGGGTACTAAATTTAAATTTAAAGACATTGTTCAAACAATATCATATCATCACATTGAGCTGATATAAATTCTGTGGGTCAAATAACATCTTTGTGATAATTTAAGAACTAACCAGTTATAAAACATCTATGATATAATCCTAATGCACACAGAAAAGCATACATACGAAAACAAATGACTAATTAGGGTACATTTATAATTGCATCTAGATAATTTTTACCCTAATGTCTTCATAAAGTACTTGAGTGTAATGTTTGTTACCTCCAGCAGAACTAAATGTTCTATGGTTATGAAAGAATATATTTATTTAAAACATTGCTTTTATTTTGAAAAGCTTCTTAATTAATTTGATTAACAAATATGCTAATTTGGGAAATCTAGAGAAGATAATTGTTGAAATTTTGCAAGTATAAACATCTCCTATAGCTTCTGTGTTATTTCTGACTTCTTAACACTATTACGTTCATGTTGCACATTACTGAAAGAGTAAAGATGTGAAAAAAACACTTTGTTTTCTTTTATTGTGAATTGAGAAAGCAAAGCTAATGAAAATGGGTTATTACATTAAAATATCCGAAAGAGTTTGCTATTTCCTTGGATCAGATATGATGAAATTATTCCCTGGGTTTAAAACTGGGCACTCGAGGAGGAGGTACCTGAAATCATTTAAGGCAAGTTTCCAGTGGTACTACAATGGCCTGAAAAAATTTCTTTACCCTCTATTATATTTAACTAGCTGGTAGGAGGAATAGTGGAATGCAGGTGTTAAGCCCTTCGTGGTGAAAAAGGTTCTGTAAGCAGAAACAAAACCCACCTTATATCAGCTGATTGGTTGATTTTACTAGGGTACCTCTTCATCTACTTGAATTTCATTTGGTAAATCCATGTCTTTACTGGATGTACAGATAGGTGGGAAGAGAAAGTAAAGGATGGCAAACTCTCAAACAATATACATTTCTTTACTCCAGGATCAAATCCAATCTTTTGAAGTAGATTCCCTAGTTTATTTTATTTGTCCTAGAGCTCCACTCATACTTAGGACCTACCCAACGATTCTCAAGAACATAATATGGATTCCACCTCATCTGATGCTACTTCTGGCAGTGGGTCGTCAGCCATACTCTGCTTCATTCCACTGGATGTTCTTGCTAGATAGGGAGTGAGATATGGAGCAGAGAGGAGCTTTGGATTCTGGAAGTGGAGGAGTGGCAAGGGAAAATTCTCCTAGTCTCCTGTGATGCACATTCCTTCAGACAGAATAGCAAAAACAAATTTTTTGTGTGTATTATGCCTCCATGACATTGTTACATTCTATGATGGGCATCTATCTCCTTTCTAGACTTGAACTGTGGTAGAAAAAGCCCCCTTCTCTCTTCTGTCCACTTAGATTTGGTGATGCTAAGAAGCTAGTGTTTTAGATATTAATTCTGTTTTTATCTATTCATTTTTACATCACCCATGGGGTCTGAGTTGGAGATGGTAGGTATTATCACTGGCATTTTAAAGGTGAGAAAGCCCAAGGCCACTGAGGTAATAAATGTAATAACTGATTTTGAACTCAGGTCTGTCTGATTTCATGTGCAAGATTATATATTTAGTGACTTTGATTTTAAGTTTATTCTCAAAATTTTAAACCAGACTATTAACTCTTACCTTTATAACCACAGATACAAAGAGCCATATCATTTTTTTCTGAATATAAAATATTAATGGTCAGTATAAAAATACAAAAATAGAGAACTATATACAATCGAAAAGCAAAATTACTCACTATTAACATTTTGATTTATATCCCTTTAGACACTGTTTAGAGTTTATACATATATGTAAATATGCTTTTATTTTAACAAAATTGAGATATTATATAAATTGTTTGTAGCAGGGTGCTTAAAATTTTAACATGTTATGGATATCTATGTCAATAAATGTGTATGTACATTAGAGTTCCCAGCCTTTGAACTGAATCTAGTTCAAAAATGCTGTGTTTTATTTGGCCACTGATATTTTTTTTTAATATTTAACCATTAGACAGCATTTCAAATTCAGAAAATGTTACATAAAATTCAATGTCCTGCTTGTTTTAAAGTATTGGATAATCTGACAACACAAGACACCTCCCACTCCCCACCTCACAACCAGCACACATATACTTTCTTGCTTGGCATCAATTAATAGAAACTGCCCTCTCCAAAAGGGGCATATGCTGTCGAATTTTCTAGAGAGTCTTTTCCCTCATTTATGTTACATCTGGACCTTGTGGACGTGATAGGTGGTGAAACTTGATGCAAATTATCATTTATAGGGAAGCCAAAGTGAGAGAATTGCTTGAAGCCAGGAGCTGAGACTAGCCTGGGAAACAATGTCTTTAAAAAGTAAAAAAATTAATTATCATTCATAATAATTACATAGTATCTTATTATATGGCTTACCATAATATATTTAACCAATGTCCTATTGTTAGACTTTACTCTCCTAATTTCTTGTTATATAAACATTCCTGTAATAAAATCCATTTTTGCAAAGTTGTTCAACTTTTTCTTCGGGATAAATTTCTAGAAGTGGAATTGCTGGGTCAAAAGATATAGAGTTTTTTGTTTTATTTTGTTTTTGTTTGTTAGGGCTTTTGAGATACATTGCCAAATAGTTTCTGGAAAACTTGTTCAGTTTAAAACCCCACCAGGAGTTTATGAGAGCACTGAAATCTTTGCTAATAATAAATTTATTTTTTCTTATTTTTATCTTTGCCAATTTTCTGTTACAAAAATATTATTTCTCTTTATCTTTTATCTCTAGTGAGATTGGATGCATATTTATATGTTAATTGGCTCTAAATAATCTCATTAAAAGTAAAAACTTCTGTACTCCAAAGGATACTATCAAGAAAGTGAAATACAACCCACAGAGTAGGTTTGCAGGTCATGAATCTGATAAGAGACTGGCATCCAGAATTTACAAAGAACTATTAAAATATAATAAAAAGACAACCCAATTTTTTAAAACTGGACAAAGGATTGGAACAGACTTTTCTTCCAAGAAGATAGGCAAATGGGAAGTGAGCACATGCTAAAGATCATTAACCAGTAAGATCACATAAGTCATAGCCACAATTAGATATGACTTCACACCAAATAGTTTGGCTATAATAAAAAAGACAGATAATAACAAGTGTTAGTGAGGATGTGGAGAAATCGGAACCATCCTACCCTGCTGGTAGAAATGTAAAATAGTGCAGCTGCTTTGGAAAACAGCTTGGCATTGCCTCAAAAGTTTAAAAAACCATAAGAGTTACTATATGACCCAGCAATTCTACTCTTAGTCTTCTACCCAAGAGAAATGAAAATATATGTCCACACAAAAACTTGTACACAAATGTTCATGGCAGCATTATTTATAATAGCCAAAAGTAGAAACAATCCAAATGTCTATCAATTTATGAAAAGATAAATCAAAATTACATATTCATATATTGGATTATTCAATATTAAAAAGAAATGAAGTACTGATACATGCTACAAGAGTATACCTTGAAAACATTATGCTAAGTGAAGGAAATCAGGCACAAAGGCCACATATTGTACAGTTTCATTTTTATAAAATAGCCAGAATAGGCAAATCAATAAATACAGAAAGTAGACTAATGTTTGCCAGTGGCTGTCGGGGCCTGGGGAGTGACTGCTAATGGGTATGAGTTTTCTTATTGGTGTGATGAAAATGTTCTGGAATTAGAAATAATGGTGATGTTTGTTTACATAACTAGTGAATGTACTAAAAGCTATTGTATATTTTAAAGGGTAAATTTTGTGGTATGTAAATTATCTCAGGGAAAGGGGTAAAAAAGGAGAAATAAAGAGAAAATAGAATTTAAAGAATGAACAGGGTATCAGAGAATAATGAAATTGCATCGAGAATCTAATATATATGAAATTGGAGAGAAGAGCAGGAAAGAAAAAAATTTGAAGCGATCATGGCTAAAACAAATCTCATTTTTAATGAAAACTATAACCCCACATATCCAAGAATCTCAAAAATTCCAAGGACAAGAAACATGAGAAAAACAACTTACGGCTGGGCGCAGTGGCTCAAACCTGTAATCACAGCACTTTGGGAGGCCGAGGCGGGTGGATCACGAGGTGAAGAGATCAAGACCATCCTGGTCAACATGGTGAAACCCCCTCTCTACTAAAAATACAAAAAATTAGCTGGGCATGGTGGTGCGTGCCTGTAATCCCAGCTACTCAGGAGGCTGAGGCAGGAGAGTTGCCTGAACCCAGGAGGCGGAGGTGGCGGTGAGCCGAGATCGCGCCATTGCACTCCAGCCTGGGTAACAAGAGCGAAACTCCGTCCCCCCCCCAAAAAAAAAAAAACAACTTACTCTGTTTTCTGCTGCTATAACAATGCCACAGACTGTGTAACTTACAAATAAGCTTATTTGGTTCACAGTTCTGGAGGCTGAGAAGTCCAAGAGCATGGCTTTGGCATCTGGTGAGTGTAATCCCATGCCAGAAGGGCAAAAGATGGAAGGTCAAGAGAGCCCATATAAAGGAGGCTTTGCTTTTATAACAAAGTCACTTCCTCTACAACTACCCCACTCTCATGATAACACATTAATCCCTTCATGAGGGTGGAGCCCTCGGGACCCAATTACCTCTTATTTGACCCCACTTCCCAACACTCTGGCATTGGGAATTCCATTAAGTTTCCACCATATGAGTTTTGGTGACACTTTCAAACCATTGCAGCCATCAAGGCATATCATAGCCAAATTGTTCAAAAGTGGTGATAATGAGATAATCTTAAAAGCAGCCAGTAAAAAAAGACATGTACAGAGAAAATAGGAAAGACAGATGTATCTTATTGTAAACCATGCAAATGAGATGCCAGTGGAGTACTGAAAACAAAGCAAAAACTGTAATCCTAGAATCCTAGAATTCTAAAAATGAATTCTAGAACTCTATACCTATTCAAAACTGAAAGTTATACAAAAAAATTTCAAAAGCTGGATTCATCACCAATAGTCTTATTACAAGAAATGTTAAAGGAAATCCTTCAAGCTGAAGGAAAATTATACCAGGTAAAAATATGGATGTACAAAAACAGATGAAGAGAGCTAGAAATAGTAACTGCAGGGATAAATATGGCTGGCCCTTTGTATTCAGGGGTTTTGCATCTGTGAATTCAACTAGCAATGGATTAAAAATACTTAAAAAAATAAAAATAACAATACAAAATTAAACGTACAAATAAAAAATACAGTACAATTATTTATATAGCATTTACATTTTATTATGTATTATAAGTAATCTAGGGATAATTTAAGATGTACATGAAGATATATAAAGGTTAAATGCAAATACTATATTATTTTATGAAGGGGACTTGAACATCTAGGGATTTTGGTTGCAGGGGGTAAATGGGGTATTTGCAAGCAGTGAATGAGGAGACCTGGAACCAATCTTTGGCTGATATTGTGGCACAGCTATAAAAGGTGTATTATTGCCTAAATCTCTTATTGTATTATAAATTGTTTAAATAATGAAATTAAAAGGCAGAAATTGTTAGACTGAATAAAATAAAAAGACCAAATAATATACTGCTTACAAGAAACACAATTCAAATATAAGGACACAAATAGTTTAAAGGAAAAAGATTGGAAAAGATATACCATGACAACACAAGTCAAAAGATAGCTGCTGTGGATGCATTAATATCAGATGTAGTAGATTTCAGAGCAATGAATATTGCCAGGGATAAAGAAAGTTATTAAATAATGACTCAGGCATCAGTTCATCAACATGTAATAATCCTAAGTATTTATGCAACTAATCAGAGCTTCAAAATATATGAAGGAAAATCCAGTGGAATTGCTAGGAGAAACACACAATTATACAATTATAGTCAGAATTTTCAATATCTATTTCTCAACAGATAGAACAACCAGACAGAAAATCATTAAGGATGTAGATGATGTAAATTATACGATCAACTACCTTGACACAATTGGTATTCATAGAGCACTCCACCACCAACAGCAGATTACATATTATTTTCAAGTACACAGAAAGTAGTTACCAATATGGACCATATTCTGGTTTATAAGACACATCTCAAAAATTTAAAAGGATTAATGTTATATAAAGTATGTGCTCTGACCACAAAGCACATCTTTATATCTTTGAAAAATCTCTTTGAAAAATCTCAAAATATTTAAAAACTAAATAACTCACTTCTAAATAACTCTTGTCTCAAAGAAGAAATTAAAAAGGAAATTAGAAATTATTTTGAATTGAAGTGTCAAAACATCAAAATTCATGGCATGACGCTAACACTATATTTAGGAAATTTATAGCAGTTAACACTTATATTAGAAAAAAAAGAAATTTCTAAAACCAAAGACTTCCATTTCCATCTTAAGAAACTGGAAAAAAAAGGAGAAAATTAAGTTCAAAGTAGAAAAAAGGGAATAAATATTAGAAATCAATGAGATAGAAAACAATAGAGAAAATTAATGAAATAAAAAGGTTGAATTTTTGGGAAGATCAATAAAATTAGTAAATAGTCAAAGGAGAGAAAGAAGACACAAGTTGCCAATGTCAAGAGTAATATCAGACATCATTTCAATATTGAATAAAAAAAAAGGAGATTACATCACTTCAAATTTTAAGGATATTAGAAGGATAATAGGCAAACATTATGAAGACTTTCTGCCTGTAAATTCTACAACTTCAATGAAATGGGCAAATTCCTTAAAACACACAAATTGCCAAATCTCAAAATGATGAGTTAAATAACTTAGACAAAAAGCACACACTGTATACCCAGTAATATACATTTCTGGAAATGCAAACCAATGAATAGTGGAAACATCATTCCAGTGTGGAATGGGGAGAGTAAGATTACAAAGTGGATTGGGGATGAGTATGTGTTCATTTCCCTGATTGTGGTCGTGTTTTCACATGTTAGACTTATGTCAAAATTTAAGTCGTATACTTGTAATATGTGCGGTTTGTTTTATGGAATTATATATCAATAAAGCTCTTAGAAATACATAGGAGCATCTCTAAGTTAATAATTTTGAGGTAGATTAAAAAATGATAGTTGAATTTTTCTTTTGTCTTGGAATTAGTGAATTTGTAGATTAAGCTTTTTTCAGTTTATAATCATTTCTGTTTCACATTTTTGTATTTTTCTGCATATGCTGTGTGCGTGTATGTGTGTGTTTACAAATTAGAAACACACACTCACATGCACACAGCACACACATGGAAAAATATAAGAATATGAAATATAAGTAGTCTCTGCATGTCGCCTGGGCTTCTTCACAACATGGTGGCTAGATCCCAAGGGTGAGCATCCCTAGATAGAGCAAGCCAGGAAGAAACTGTACTACATATTATGAGCTACCTAGCTTTACAAGTCACATAGGTCGTTTATATCACATTATACTCATTGAAGCAGCCGCAAAGATACACCCAATATCAGGGAGAGGGGTGGGATAAACATTAACTCTTGATGAGGTAATGGTGAGG